TGAGATGCGAAAATACGTTGTCTGCAGTCAGACAGCACAATGCACTTTTTTTTTTTTTTTTTTTTGCTTCCAGAAAGCAGTAGAGCAAAAAGAAATACGATTTTGCGGGGACCTCTGGAGGTCCCCGCAAAATATGTAAGCCCACAGCTGTCCAGGCCGCTGACATTTACGTGCCCTTTTGTGTGAACACGCAAAATACGTGCCTCTTGTGACCGGAAAAAACTACATAAAATTTGCGATTTTGCAAAAATACGTGGTAGTGTGAGTGTGCCCTCAGTGAGGGTAACCCCCCAAAGAACTATATATATCAAACCCGACAGATACAAAGGTATTTAGCTTCATTAAACGAACTAAACACAAAAATTACATCCCAAGTTTCCCAACCTACCCACCGAAATTTCAGAATCAGATTTTCAATGTTCATCCACACTGGACGAGAATCCAAGGTGGATGAAGAGACAGTCTTTTTCCACATTCATGGGACTTCTTCTACCCAGATAAACAGATTTTCGACGCAGATTAAAATTATCAACTGTGCTGAACGGATCTAAAATATTATAAAACTTAAAAACTATTATAAACTTATATATAAAGTTATCAGCCCTGGCGAGGAGGGCAGATTTGCAGTCATAACAGATGTCAGTCGGTGGAGGACACCATGACCACCATTTCCCCCAAGATGGCAGGAAGATTAAATAAATAGACAGGCTAGGTCACAGTGCATTGAATGTTCCTTCTTAACTCTTGACGAGACGTACGAGTTATACTGTTATAGCAAATCGTTTATCCATCTGTCTATCCATCTATCTATCTCCTAACTCCACTTAGACATCCCCAATAAATGTTAAATAGACAGGTTAAGCTAACAACAGCACATTCATTTGCTCCATATAGTAGACACTAGATACCTATATCCCCGGCAAATGTGCGAGTGGAAATCACATCCCTGTGGAAATCACATCCCTTACCTGTATTTGTCAACGTATACAGTACTATACACCCACTAACTCCAGGTAGACAGATTTGAGATTAGACTCTAGAGTCTAGAGCAGATTTTCCCCTCCTTTTAGATGAAGTTGCAGCATAGCTATCCATTCTCTATAGGACGAAGGTTGCCCCTATTTTGTACTTCTCATCCAAATCTACGTCCAACGTTTAGACACCAGAGCTTATCCACAACTATATCCAGAATGTAGGTTCAAAATTACTAAAAAAAAATAAAAAAGATTAGTAAAACTTGATACGGATTGCAAGGCTTCTCAGATTAAATCCTAGCCGCCGATGCACAGATCAGATCATCAGAGCCTTCAATGCTAAGCTTCCCAGATTACAAAAACATCCTGAACAACTTCTAAATTCAGTGCAACGTCTGAGTAACTTCTGCGTAACTTCTGCGTAACTTCTGCGTAACTTCTGAGGACCGAGTAAACTTCGAAGTATCTTCAGAGTAACTTCAGAGTAACTTTAGAGTAACTTCAATTTTGATTACCTTCTGTGCGGAGTAACTTCCGTGCTGAGTTAACCTGTGAGTAACTTCATACTCAGATCTTCAGAAGCTGCAGTGGCCAAAAGAGCTCTTCTTCCCAGATTACATATCGTCAAGAAAGTCGAAATCGTCAACGGGGTCCCGAGGCAAACTTTCCCTTACCTTCTCCTGCAGCAGACTATCCTTGGGCCACACCATTCGTGCATCCCGCCCAAAGCTCTCGTAATAAAAGCGCAGCAGCATCTGAAAAAAACACAAGCAGATGAAAGAAAAATACACAGACAGCCACTCGCATCCAACCCGAACCATCATCAGCATCCCACCGCGAGCCCAGGCAACATCTTGTAGCAAAACACCACTGCAGAAGGAAGGAGGTGGGAGGTGAACAACAAGCAGCAGCAGAGGAGGGGGAAGAGGAGGACAAGGACAGAGAAGGGAGGATGAGAAGAAGAACCAGAAGAAGACAAAAAGAAGGAACGAGGAGGACAAGGAGAAAAACGAGGAGGAGGAAGGGGAGGGAGGAGGGCAGAAGAAGAAGAAGAAGAAGAAGGAGAAGATCTGCTGAACAACGTCTTTCCATTGTGAAACTTTGGTGGCAAATTGGCAGTTTATTGTGACCGCAACAACAGCTCTCCAGGCTAGGTAATCTGGCAGCATACTCTGGCAAGCATGCTGCCAGTCCCCTCGCCGCAATGCATCCCCCATAATCTGGTGTGCCCGTACAATGTCCATCAGTAATTGTTCGTTTCGCAAAAAAATGACGAAATCTGGACAAGCCTAGAAGGCCATTTGTTCAGCATTCAAGTCTCGACAATGACTCACTGGACCCTCTTGCCAAGAGGAAGGGAAAACAAGAAATAAGCCTCCATGAGGCCTTTTTTTTTAATACCGTCTTCTGAGTTTCAGGGGCAGGATGGGATTTGATTAGTGGCCTCAATGACTCACAGGTCCTTCTCAGAAACGCTAGAACCAGTGCTCAGCATATCCCTTTTCTTCGTTGTCCAAACACAAAGTGGGAAGAAACTTCAAGAAAGAAAAGAACTCGAAATGGGCAATCACAGTTTGCGTTTACAATGTGTCTTGGTCCTTTGTCTGTTCATAAGGTCAGTTTTGCCTCTATGAAAATGTGTACGTGGGGGCGCATTACTGCTAGGCACACAGAGAGAGAGAGAGAGAGAGAGAGAGAGAGAGAGAGAGAGAGAGAGAGAGAGAGAGAGAGAGAGAGAGAGAGAGAGAGAGAGAGAGA